TCTACTCTTAAATACGTATCAGGTAGACATGGTAGCTTTCAGGATTTCCTGCCCTTCTGATTTCCATCTCTTCCCACCGTTCACTCTTTAGTATGAGTCCTTGGTGATTCCTGAATATCCAAGTGTGTCCATTTTGCATATCAGCTCATTTCTTTTAAGTTTCAGGTTTATTCTGGTCCATTTTTTCTTCATAAGCAAACATGCAACTAAGAAATCCAAGCACATTTTAATATTAGCCTTCAGCAAAGCATAATTAGGGAGATAAATTCTTGGTTTAGAAGAAAGTCATATGCTAGTTCTACAACTGAGTAGCAATGAATTTTAAATTAGCTGTGCCATGGTGTTGTTTCCTTTTACTGCTTCCCTGAATTGGTACAAATCATGGGCCTCTTCATGTTTAAAGCTGATGCACACATGCATTCTGAAACAGTCCTTTAACATGCATGAACTCTCTTCTATGTAGATACCCAGAAGATTTTTAATCACAGTGGTATCCCTGGTTGTCTTGAGAAGAATTGCCCTGCCTCCTTTGCACCTGGGTTCCCTTGCACATAGTGAGAATGCTCTTACAGCAAGATCTTCTCACATTTAGCTTTGTGAAGGTGAAATAAGGACTGAATTTAAGAGTGGTCATTATCTTGGGAGCAACTGGAAGAAGATAAATTTGAATCTGTCTTTGAATTTCAACGACACCAGCAGGTTCTGTGTAAACAGCCAGATTCTCATTATGCTTTACAGTAAACTTTAGGCATAAATGAAACTTGTTGAGAATTTATTCTCTAAGGAAGATAGGCCTCATAATTTTCTAAACACCCCTTTTCTATAAAATGCAAAATGAAAAGAGCCAGTCAGAATGTGTTTTGAATGTGTGCTTGGCAATGTTTTATGTGTCTGCTGCAAGAAGTCACTAACTTTGATTTTTATCATTGTGTGCTTAGTGAGAATAAACAAAAATCAAATACATGGTTTCCCATACTTATAATGCTTAAAGGGCTATACCATGTGATGGGTCACAAAAAGTAGATCCTTGCTACCTTCATCAGGATTCTCAACCACAATTACTATACTATTGACATTTGGGATCCTGTTACAAACCCAGGTCTATTTTGCCCACCACACAGTATACCAAGCACTGAAACAATGAGATTTTCAAAGGAGATAGTTTATTCATAAGGCAGCCAAGTATGATGGTGGGATATCCAAGTCTCAAATCTACCTCCAGAGTATGGGATTTGGAATATTTATGGGATAAAGAAGCAGGGTGATTGAAAGGATGGAGAAAGGTGGTTGGAGATGAAGTGGTGAATCGTCTGTGCATGTGTACTTAGTTTTCATGGTTCTTCATGGGATACATGCTCAAGAAATGGTGATCATTAGCATGATCTGAGGGTGGAGTTTTTAGTTAGCCTCCTAATGTTAAAAGGTCACCCATGGTCACTTGCATAAGCCCAAGTGAAGGATGAGTAGTTTCAACCTTTCTGAGATAGATAAAGCAGCCTCCAAGTTTGAAAAACAACTTAGGCACCCTGTTATTTATAGCAAAGCTAATGGGAATATGCTGCTTAGCTAGCTGACCTCCACAGTTGGTGGCAAATGCCAAGTAGCTAAAAACAAGTGAAGCTAAAGAGCTTATTCAGGTTTTCTTTGGTTTGAGCCCTATGATTCTTTGTTTTGGGGGTGTCATGTGCTTTGTCGGATGTTTAGCGTCAACCCTGGCCTCTGTCTACTTGGTGCCAGGGGCAAATACTCCCTCCTCTCTCTAGCTGTGACAAACATATTCTAAATGTCCCTGAGGGGAGAATCAAGCCCCACTTGAGAACCACTGCTCTAGATGTATTAATATTTATTGGCAAGGTCAATTTTACCAGAAATACTGAGTCAGGTACATTAAATCACATGTTTGGATGTAATATTTTATTAAATGGCTTTAGAATGTCAATCTTTACTTCCTTCCTTAGAAAGTCCTATTTGCTGAAATCAATTGGTAGACTATGAGTAAGAAAAGTGGCTTGCCTCTTATGTAAAGCTAAACTTCCCACTAAGCTTGGTTTGGTGTACAAATCATTAGTCCATATAATGGGAGAGTAAGCTATGACAAAAACAAATACATTGATTTCGGGGAGTGGCAGGTATTTTCCAGTTTGCTGCATTTTTCATATCACTCAGGAGGAGTCTTACTGCTATTATCTGTAGGACAGTAATTGGATAGCTTTTTTTTCCCCATCCAAATAATACTTTAAAACAGCTCCAAGCATTAAACTGTGAGCTTCACATTATACTTTGACATGGTGGGAGGGAGCATAAGTCTGCTTTTAGGAGTAGTGATATTTCAGGGCATATATGTTATTGCAGCATAATGAAATAAATCTTTGGTACTTTAAACAACTAAAAGTCTTTAAAGTACTATAATGATTTCACAACATTAATTCTACGATATGTGTGCCATCCACAGATTGTCCCAGTTTTTGCTGTGGTGCAGTGTTGCATTTGACAGATTACTTCATTAAATAGCTGCATTGTGCTTGCAAAACACACCTAGGGGCCCTGATTGCTTTTTTTTTTTCTTTAAATAGTGATAGTCCATTGATGGTAAGGCCAAATTTAGTTAGGATGAATGCAATTACTCTAAGTGTAAACAAGTTAAAAATACCATACCAACTGCAGGTTTGGTTCAGCATTGTCACCAGAGGGTCAAAAGGTTGAAATTCAAGATGCTTGTGTTCCCTATTGATTTGTTAAATGATCTTCAGTAAATCACCCAAGACTGTCCTCATTTCTGCTTTGCCTCTTGCAAAGTTGTGTTGGTTTGATGTCAAACCATTCTAGCAGGTAACAAATTGAAGGTGAGATTTTAAGATGAGTTCATTTTTAGAGGCATATTTGTATTGACTCTTTGTAGAAGGTTAAGAAATCTTGTGTTAGAGGTAGGCACCAGGAAACCAAGGCAGGAGGATTCCAAGTTTGAGACCAGCCTGGGCTACAGAGTGAGACCCTGTCTCAAAACACAATCTCGAATATCGTTGTTATTGTACTTTGCAATTAATAAGCCAGTACATTGGAAATAAATTACTCTAAGAAGCAGTGTAGCAAACTAGTGTGCATTCAGTAATTCCATAAATAAGTGATGAAGATATGTATGGGTGAAATTGGCCAAAAGACAAAAAGATGACCAAATGCAAGAATTTTGACTTGATTATATTGGCCATGGTAAAAATCCACATGTACTTATATTTTTTTTGTGAAAATGAACCCAAGTCTAGGTACAGAGGGAAACACTTACTAGCTTTGATAGCCTTCAGGGTAGTAACTTCATATTTTTGAGAAGTGATTCTGAGGGAACTAAATGAATTCAGTGGAGGATGCCTAATGATCTACTTCCTGGGTATGTAAACCATGTGTTTTCACTGGGCCCCAGTATCAGAAAGGCCCCACTCTGGGCTAAATGCTCTGTTGTTAACATTGTGGAATTTGTCATACTTTCTGAACAAAGGGCCCTGCATTTTCATTTTACATGGAACCCACAATTGATGTAGCTGGGTCACATCAGTAGCACAACAGAACTCTCTTAACTCATGGCTGTTTTCTTTTTCCTTTCCTGCTGGATTCCCTTTATTGTGCTATTACCACGAATTTGCCACTACAGATCTGAGGTCTAGAAGTTTCTTGCACCATCTGCCTGGACCCTGTTGCTGTAGGAGCTGTCTGTTTGCTAGGAAGTCTCGCCACCTTTAAACCCAATGTGCCACCAGCAGCCTTGGCCATTCTTGTTTGCCAGCAGACATACACTGAGTATTAGCCCTGTGGAGGGTCAGATGTCCCAGGAAGGAATCCTAAGATGTTTCCATTCATTGGTTTCTTTCCAGCATCATGAGGAGATGGAAACATGTTTAATGAAGAGCAACCTCATGAGAAAGCATATGCCAAGTTCTGTGAACATGATGCAGAACTAACCAAGGCAGGACTGGATCCTCACTCTGTCAGTGTGCAGTGCAGAGAGGATTTTCCCATAGAAATCCTGTCACGCTGCTGGTTGGCTGGCTCTGTAATTTTGTGCCAGTTCAGAATAAATAGGCTTTTGAGAGGTGACCTAAAAATCCTACCTATAATACTGTTTCTTTGAGGAAAATGCCTTCTGAGTTCCAAATAATTTTAAATGAATGATTTATAAATCTGGTACTGAATAATGTAATATATGTTGAAGGCAAAAAAAAAAAGACCTCATGAGATTTTTGACAATAAATAGCCACAGAGTGTTTTGCTTATCAGTTGAAAGATAGCTTAAATATTCAGAGTCTAATGCTGTACATTTTCAGATGAACACTCCCTAGTGATTTGGAAACTACGTTGCAAAATACAACATTTGCATTTCAGAAAAGCTATCAGAGTTAGCTTCTTCTGTTGGCAAGAATGGTAATATCCGCAAAAACAATCTTTTTGACTTTTTAAATGGAAGATAAAGTATAATTGCTGTCTCTACTTGCCACAGTGCCATTATGTATCTTGACTGTGTCACAAAGAACATAGAATGTGTTAAACTCTTTGCGACATCCTGGTAATGTCCCCGAGGTATGTGGAAACCTCCCCCGTAGTAATCAGAGGGCTTCCTTTCTCTGGAAATATGAATGTAACTTTAAAATTATTTGTAGAATGCAGTATATAAAAATTACAAATAATGCATTTGTATCTGCAACCTGTACCTACTCAGGGACCTGGATTTATCTTAAATTTAATTTCATAATGACTCGGTTGTCTACAATTCAAAGGTTAAAAATCAGCATTTAGGTGAAGTTGATTGATTCTGAGAACATGGACTTGTACCTGACTCTAGGATCGTTTTGGATATTAAAAATTATCTTTTATGATTGAAGTATATGCCATTGTGGAGTTGAAATATATGAATGTTATTCATTGAAGAATTTTTTAGTAAATGATAGATCATATTTATTATCTGAACATTAATTGCTCTATTCATAAGTTATTTCTCTTTTTTGTGCATGTAGGTGCTCTTAGCTAGCAGTTTCATGCCCATTTATGCAGGACTGAGACCAGTGGAATACAAAGGACAGGTAATATTGTTATACCTGAGTAATTATTGCAATAATTCATACTAATCCATTTCTTTTGAGTCCAATTTCATAGTTATTCTGGTCCAAATCCATTTATATGTGTTATATGTATAAATGGCTTTATTTTTATTTAAGAGGGAAAAATAGGAAGACCAAATGCTATGGTCCCTTTTCATTAAGATCTTGCAAATGAGAATGATTGACTCAGATGCTCTCACTTCTATTTTTTAAAATATATGTATTTTATTTAAAATATTTTTGTTTTTAAAAGCAGTGAAAGAGTTTTGTTTTTCATACTACGGTCCTATTCACAGCCCCTCCTATACATGCAAGAAGCAGAATTGTGACCTCATAGTGGGAAAAAGCATCAGGGTTCTGCACACTTTCCCCCCTCAAACAGTACTAGACCCCTTCTTCCCATCCCACCCTACCCTACAGCCTCTCTGTGGTTTTAGTCCTGTCTTCTCCATGCTTCTCTACCTACCAAGATATGTTTGGTTCCACTCTAGGAGTGTTTTCTTCCTTGGGGTATCACATAAGGCTGGATGCCATTTCTCATGCGGACATTTAGACATGAGCCTGCATGTAGAGTTTGTGCTCAGTACTGCTTAGCCATCTCTTAGCTCCCTCTGCATGGTACACTGTATTTGCCCTGAACATTTGCCATCCTGCCCTAATAAGCCCCTTTTCTATTTAGCACACACCACAGAGAGGCATTTTGTAATCAGAGTATCCATTCAGGACACATATCAGAAATATGCATTTTATAATCAAATACAGTATCTTGTTAACACATATTTATAATCAGAAACAATGTCTATTTAACACATTTATAATGAAAGATAGCATCTATGTAACACATATCTATCATCAAATAGTTTCCATTTAGCATATACCAGAGATAAGCATTTTATAATCACCTATAGTATGTATTTAGTGCATAGCAGAAATAATGCATTTTATAATCAAATACAGATCTATTTAGCACATATTTATAATAAAATATAGTGTATATTTTGCACTTACTAGAGATAAGCATTATCTAGTCAAATATATTATCTATTTTTCATATATCAGAGACATATTTTGTAAGGAAATAGAGTATCCATTTAACACATACCAAAGCTAGGCATTTTATAATTACATATAGTGTGACTATATGTTTTTATTTACAGAAATATATAAGATTATATATTTTATATTTAAATATATATTTTATAATTAAATAGGGTATTTATTACATACTAAAGATAGACATTTTATAATTAAATACAGCATATTATTTGTAGAAATGTACTTGCATATAACACTCTAAAGCCCTTTTTGTGGCCAGTTAGAAACGATATATCAATTGATTTAAAAAAACATGCCACAAGTAATTGAAATATCAGCTATGGAAACCAGACAAGCTTTCAAAATTTTTTCTATTTTTGTACTGTCTGTCAGAGCTAATACATACTCCATTTTTCAAGCCAAGTGTCTATTTTGGCATTGAAAAATTTATTTGTGATGGTACACACTTTAACTACATAGCTATTTTAAAGAAAGTTCATTTGCCCTCTTATTAATGTGAGTAAAAGTCAGCATTTGCTTTTACATATAAATTTTGAATGGAATTAGAGTTGCTTCAAATCAAATTTATGTTGTAAACTTTAATTTTATAATGATCAGAAATTGAAAGTAACTTTTATTTTAGGGTATTGTTTTATAATGTACTCTAGCCATAAAAAATGGCAGAATGGTTAAAAAATCCTAAAGCATTTCATGAGATTCCATTATTATGCAAAGGGATACATTAGTTCATTTTCTGTTGATATAGCAAAATACCCAAAGCTGGGTATTTTACAAATATGAGGCTTATTTAGGTCACAGTTTTAGAGACTAAAAGTCCAAGATTGAGTAGTCTCATCTATTTGGTCACTGCTGAAGACCCCCTTGAGTATGTCACAATATGGTGAATCCCATCATGGTGTGAGTACCTGTAAGAGAGATAGGTCATATGGTAAGACAGGAAACCAGAGAATTTCAGGGACCAGGCCTGCTCTTTTTATAACTTGCTCTCACAAGAACTAGCAAGGATTCCATGAATGCTACACTAATCTTTTCTAAGGGCAGTGCCCCAATGACCTAGCCACCTCCCACCAGGCTCTGCGTCTTAAAGGTCCTGCCATCTCTCACATCACTATGCTGGGGATCTAGCTTGTCACATGTGAATCTTTGGGGTAGCACTCAAAGTATATCTAAATATGGTAAGGGGGATCTCAAAGTCAAAAGTCATCACAAATGGTGATGGTCAATAAATTAAAAACTAGTGACCAAAAAGTTGGGATGTAGATATGGTATTTAAGTGATATTAAGGGAAGGAAGGATGGAATAAAGCTTAGGACAGAGCTGAGTCCCAGAAGCCCAACATGCTATTAGCCTATGTAAAACATTCCCCCTTTAAAAATACTAATTACAGTATTATGAAGGAGCAAGAGGTAGTTCTAACATACACTTTCTTTTTTCCTTAGTAATAGAATCTCAATGTCTAGCTCAGCCTATTGATGTGTAGCTAAAATCTTACATTTCTCAGCTTCCTCTGCAGTCACATGTGGCTGTCCATTTAATTGTTGACCAAAGAGATGTAAACTGAAATACTACTGGACTTACAGGAATGGAAGCTGTATATAGGCCAATGAGATGCAAGCTGAAATACTGAGACTTACAGGAAGGGAGATAATATACTTTTACTGCTGTCAGTATCTTTCTTTCCTATTTCCTTGAATGTAAATGTGGTGACTGGAGTTTCAGTAGTCATTGTGAAACAAGAGGTCAAAGATCATACCCTGGAGATGGCCAAATAGTGAGGTGAAAAGACTTAAATCATTTGTAGTAACGAAGTTCACTAGTTTATTCTCTGTATTCTTGCTACCAGAAAGAGAAAACTTCTGTTGTCATTATTGTAGGTCTGCTGTAGGGATTATTAGCCCAACTTTACAGATGAGGAAATTGAGATGTAGAGATGTTAATCTACTCCACTGATGTCACTCAGCTAGGAAGAGAACAACTTCCCTGGAATGATGGCTAGTAATTCTGTCTCTGCTGTGCCTCTCACTCTACTTTGCCTCATTCTTTTCAAAATGATAGTTGCTATTTCATTTCTATCCAACCCTACCTCTAGCTCTTGGGTATGTATGTGACAGGAAGTTTAGAGGTGGTTAAAAGAGTCATATGTGAAGAATCAGAATTTCCTAGTGAAGTTTTCCATTATATGATTGAATATCTCAGGTACTTTTCTTGGTTTTGTTTTGTTTGTCATAACTTTGTGGTGCTGGAGATGGAACCCAGGGCCTGGTACATGTTAGGCAAACCCTCTACCTTTGAGCTATGGCCTCCACCCTGATTGAATACTTTGGACATGAACATAGATTGACAGCAGAGAATGAACAGACCTAAGACTGTGAAAAGGATGGAAAGCATTCCACCCAAGACCCTTGACTATGGGCAATAACCAGGGACAATGTGTAGTACATCACTTGGCATCTGTACACCAGAGGCATGTCATAATTACCTGCTGGACTGAGTCTTATGTCTGCTGAAAGCATTTGGTATTTCTTTATCATTTAATGGCATCTACAATAAAGAGGCCCTGTGTACAGAATGATTGACAAAGCACCACAGAGATCCTACACCATTTATGCCAGAAAATGCCAATTTACAAGTGTTGTTCCCGGCTTGTTGCTGAATTTCTATAAGCATGCTCACCTCCCATCTTCTAATGGAATTTCTCTGCCAAGATATTTTCTAGACCCTTTCCTTTCCATCTTCAGGGAAAATGTGAGTGTTGCCATAAATGTGTTTTACTGTGAGCAGAAGCACTTTATGTGATCCAAATTACAGAAAAAAATTAAGTCTTGATGAAAACACCTCTCATTTTCAGACTTTAATGTTTTTGTGCAGCTCATGTTTTGATTTGTTTGCTAGGTTTAGTTGTTTTTCTGAAGTGAAGGAAGTTGAAGTAGAAGCTGGAGGAAAAGAGAGATGGTGTAACTTCCGTATTTGTGGCCTAGAGTCATGGAAGACAGAGAAGGTGGGCTGTGGCCTGCAAGGGTAATTGATACCCGTGGTCTTCTCTCCTGACTTCTATAAAATATGCAGACATCCTTGTTTTCACACTCAGTTTCATTGAGATGTATGTGTGGGCCCAATATTCTTATTTTAAAAATCTTGTTAGTCACTTAGGATCATCATACTTTAGTAAGACTTAAGATTACCTTAAACCATTGCAAATAACAGTATGAATCATTTCTAAACGTGGTATTATGTTGGGCTGGGTATATAGCTCAATGGTAGAACACTTGCCTAGCATACTCAAGTCTGATTCTGAACACTTCAAAAATGAAGAAATAAAAAAAACCAAAGTACTATATCTTCAAAAATTACTTCATTTTCCTACATTATTTTAAAAGATTTTGTATCTTTATGTGGCTTCATTGAATAAGACTATTATTAGCACCTGACTCATAGTAGAAACTCATTAATAGTTAAATAGATAAGTGAATGGAAATAAATTGAAGTGATGTCTTTATTTTAATGCATTATCCTCTAGTACCTATGACCTGTTTCCATTCCAGGGACAGAATAAGCCATAGAATGCTCACACTATCTGGCCATGTTTTCATAGACTCTTATCATCAATTTGGAACAAGAATGAAAAGTTTCCAGAATAGTTTCTCAATGTGCATGCATGTGTATGTGTGTGTGTGTGTGTGTGTGTGTGTGTAATGCAGTACCTTAGCAAATGACTAAATATCAGAATAGGATTAATTCCAGAAGAGCTGTATGCAGATCAGAAGAGCAGCTACAGAATTTTGTGTTGTTTCTTTTATCTAAGTTAGAATTTAAGTAATATTTGGACTCTATAATATTAGAACATGTATTGAAAAATTGTCATTTTATTATCACTCTATTGAGGCTTTGCATTGAGGGTCATTAATCTCTTCATTGTTGACACATCTGTGGGAAAGAGAATTGTGGAATACACTCTTTTACTCTGTATATAGGTATTACTCTAGTCCTTGAGTTCCTGTTTCTCCATAAAGTAGACATTTACATTTCTCATGAAAATGTAGAAAGCATACTCACTGTAACAACAAACAGTGGTAAGAGGCTGGATTTGGCTGGATGGAAGTCTGAATACCAATGTATAGTTACTCTAAAATAGAAAATTAATTTCCAGCTATGTTTTAGGCTTTTTGCATTGTCCATTTAATTTTTGAAACAGCCTGTTTATATTCCAGTAAATATTTTTGTTTAGCATTTATAGATTGTCAGCTGTTAAATAACTCTTGATTTTTGGAGTCACTGTTTTTGATCAAGTTTTAGAAATTCAGTCAGCAATGTTCCAAGAACATTATCTAGTAGAAGTCAGTACAGCAGCGTTTCTCAACCTCTTTTTTTCAAAAATGCTATTTTAACTTGTCTCCCTTTCATTCAAAATTCTTACCTGTCTCTTATCCCTTCCTGTTTTTATTCTTTTGACCCAAATGGGAGGTTACTCTCTCTCTCTCTCTCTCTCTCTCTCTTTCTCTCTCTCTCTCTCTCTGTCTTCCTCCCTCTCTCTTTCCTCCTCTCTCATTACCCCTTTCTTTCTCTATATTTTAAGAATTATAACCATTTGTAGCCTACATCATGAAAGCCAAGAAAATACATTTTCAAATATAAAACTGTTTTTTTAAATCCAATATATTTCTCCTTGTCCATTTCTCACTCAGCCCTCAGAAATCAGAACTGATATTTCCACTTCCATTGCACACCTCTATATTTTGTAGTGTGTGAGAAAGAATATTCCACAGAAATAGATATTTCATTCCCGCTAATATTTCTGTTTTTTATCTGTTTGTAAATCCTTTGGCATTATTGTACATAATCTGTCCACACACCTACTCAGCTGTGCTGGCTTAGTGGGAAAGCAGCCATAAGCTATCCATAAACTAAAGGACATGATAGATAGCAATAAGACTTTATTTACAGGAGCAGGTGGTGGACCATAGCTTACCAATCTCTGATCTGGAGCCAGTAACCCTGTAAGCCTCAATTTCCTCTTAAGAAATTAGTAAACTTAATATACAGCAGTCCCTTTTATCCACAGGGGGATATGTTCCAAGATCTCCAGAGGATGTTTGAAACTGTGAATACTTTCAACCCTATATGTATCTTTTTTTCCTATGTGCCTTGCAGCATTGCCCCATGGTACCAGATTTAATTTGTCCTTCCATGTTTTGTGCCTCGTTGCCAACTTTGCTTCATTGCTCTTTTACTTTGTTTTTATTATTAAGTAAAATAATGAATGTAAACACTGGCATAGTGAGACAGATGATCCTTTCATCAAAAAGGTGACTTAGGCACGAATAGTTGGGTAGCACATATACCGTGGATACAATGATCAAAGAGACAGTTCACATCTGTACAGAGTGGACTGAGACTGCTTGAGATTTCATCATGCTATTCAAAATGGTGCATAATTTAAAATATATGAGCTGTCTATTTCTGGAATTTTTCATGTTTTCAGATCAGGATTAACTGAAACAGTAGAATGCAAAACCATGGATAAGGGGAGACTACTGTGCTATCATGACCTTCCTACCTTATAGAGTTCTTATAAAGGTCAAATTAAATGATATGTGAGAAATCACTTTGTAATAATAATCATGAATATTAACATTCATTCATCCTTCCAACAAAATGTTTTTCATTCCTTCTCTTTGGACCAACACACACCTTAAGGAAATCAAGCCCTCCATCATGGTTCTATCACATATTACATCTGATGTTCAAACAGTACTTGATAACTTAATAAATGTGACGTTTTAGTTGATATTGACAATTAAGGATTCTAATTTGGTATTTTTTGTTGTTGTTTGCTTTGTGTTGTTTTGTTTTTACTTTTCCACTTATAACATTTTCTTAAATTCAAAAAACATATACTTGATTGGTACCTACCTGTAACACTTCAGAGTGTAAAGCAAAAGTTAAATGATACTGATATATGAATTATCTAGTCTGTTAAAGTATAGCCAATCCCATTGGCTCTTCAGAGTGATTCCATAAATCATCTTGGTTTTCAGTTCTTCCATCTTAGAGAACCACCATAGGAGATTGCAGCCCCACAGTTGGGCATGAGTTTTCCTTTTCTACAGAAGAGTTGTAAATAAGCAATTGCTTATTTATATCTCTTTGGACCCAGGCAACTGACTTCATTGTGGAGCATGCTTAGAATATGGTCAAAGACTGGACAGATGGAGGGTTAGGTTATCAGTGGTTGTGGGTGGCAGGCAGTAAGTATAAGGCCAACAATAAGTTTGATTTTTTTGAATATAGCAACTTTATTCATAATTGTCAAAAACTTGGATGCCTTCAGTATGTGAGTGGATAAATAAAATGCAGTACACCTAGACAAAGAATTATCTAGTGCTAAAAAGAAATGAGCTATTAAACCATGAAAAAGATACTTAGGTATCACTAAGTAAAAGATGACAACATGAAAAGGCTGTAGACCCAATGATTCTAACTGCATAACAGAGAAGACCGGTTGTTATTTTTCATAAGGATGTTTTAAGAATCACAGAAGCTCATAGTAATAGGTACCAGAATATAGAATGCTACCCATAAGGCAAGACTGGGAATGACCTGCCAGAATATGTGGCAAACAGCCAGAAAATTCATGGACAGAAATAATTGACATGCAAAATTTTAAGCTATCAGTAGAATATGTCATATAACATGCTTCTCCTTCTAATTTGGAGGGTGATGACTATTTGTTGCTGTGATTATTGTTTCCAGAACTGTTGCTAGAATCAGCATGCCCAAATGAATTTGTGGTTGTTCTGAGTGAAACAGCTCATGAGAGCATAAATCAGGAGTGAGCTGTGCCACATTTAGGGTTAAAGCAGCATGAGTTAGAGAGCAGCTACTATCATTGCAAATTTAATCAAGGCGTTTGATAAGCTATATGTTTTCCCTAGCCATTTATCCAATCAAAATCAGCTAACAAGGGCGAACAGAATCTGAAAAAAAGGATTTGCAATTCTCTGAAACAGCAGTCATTAACCCCATAGTAAATTAGAGCACTTTCCAATTTAATGAGCCGGATTGCCCCTCTTTTCATTAAGTTGAACAAATCAGATGAGCTCTTACTTAAGGTTATATGACATATCTTTAATTTTCCTTGATGAAACTTCCATGGATTTTTATATTATTGGAAACAGATTCTGTTGAGAGTATGAAGTGAGGTAATTTGGGAAGGTGTCTTTTTTCTTTTCTCTAGGTATTATTCTATTGCAGAATTTGATGTTCATACCTAAAGCGGTTAGGGAAAACAAAAGCAAACTCCGGGCAGAATCAGATATTTGGGAACTTTCTTTTTTGCAAGCCTTCCTATTGTACATTTCATTTATATAACCTATATAGAAACATATATTTACTTACCACATATATTTTTTGTCCTGGTACATATATATGTATATATTCCAAAACAAGCACATATACATGTATATACATGTTGACATTATTAGCATGTGTTTATATAATATGCACAATTTATTTCATAATGTGTGAAGTTCTTTTAAAAATAATGACAATATGCAGATTATCCAGGTCAGTCTCATTTTAATCCACTTGATTTATGCTTTCTCCTCTACTAAAATTCAATTCTCTCAAAAGAAATTTTTAACCATTTTTGATTTTTAATTTACTTTTATTCGCTTTGGAGAAGTTGGTGTCTGACCATGGTCTTTGTAAATAATATAATAATCATTTTGTCACCCGCTACATAAGTAAAAGGAAGAAGGAATAAAATGGAGAGATACCTTAGAAGAAAATAGTTGTGTTAACTAAGTGAGGAACGTTTTAAATTAACCTATTTCTCCTTAGGCCACCTTTGTGTTGAATAGCAAAGCTTTGTTTATGACATTTTACATGTTCAAGTGAAACAAGTGAAACTCAGTGTACAATTTTCCCTGTGAAACACTCTGTGAGGGATTCTCAACTGCTATCAGATACCTGAAGAATAATTCTAATGATGGATATCCAATATCTAATGACAGAGAATTTGGACTTTATTCCTATATGTGTTGATTGCTATGACTGATTATATAGACATGTAGGTTCATGGGCATGTTGAAACTCCTTAATCTGAGAATAGACAGTGTAAGGACTACTTTATTGTGTTTCTTTCTGGTTGCCATTTCTCAGTATACAGTTCTGTAGGGTGACAGGCCATGATCCCTCCTCCTTGTCCTAAGACTTGTTTATTGTCTTTTGTCTTCTCTTTCCTGCTCCATCCAGCACTGTTTTGGATGGAGAGGGCTGAATCCTTTCTGAGTTATGTTTGGTTTTTACCAAGAGCTTCCCATTCCTTATGACTTCAGAACATACCCCTGCGTCATGTACATGGCAGCCACTTTACAAATAGAAGGGCTCCAACTGTTCTGTTTTTAAGTTTTCTAAAGAAAATGCCAATGTCTGGTTCTTACAATAAAAATGAGCCACCTTTGGTGGTGGGTGTTTTGTTCACAGTTAACAGTAAATATGTCTTTGTACTTAGATTACATAATGAACCCCCAACTTATAACACATGGCTTCTTAGACATGAGCAGTAATCAGTACAAATTTAAGTATGTCTTATGTAAAATAATCTATAGAGTTTAAACTTTTGACAAGTTTTCCTGATTCTGTCCAGAATTCTTTTCAGATTGGTAAGTGATATGTATACAAAGATTTGTTTTGCTCCCCAAATAGATCCCTAATCTATGAGCTCTCAAAAATAGTAATTTAAGAGAATATTTTAAGATGTGTATCTTATTGAAAGGAAGGAAGGTCTTTTTTGAGAAAATCACCTCTTTTCTTTCCTTTGTGTGGGAGTTGTGCTGACAAGTGCTGATGCCAGAGCTTCCTTCCTATAGACATGGGTGGATGGAGGCCTCACCAACAGCCTTCCCATCCTACCTGTGGGCCGCACAGTGACCATCTCTCCCTTTAGTGGACGACTGGACATCTCCCCACAAGACAAAGGGCAGCTGGACCTGTATATTAATATCACCAATCAGGATATAATGGTGAGTAACTGTGTTCCATGACTCTTTTAAAGTCCTGAATCTACTAAACATCCCCACAGAATACATACACACAAAACACTGGAAGCTGACTGACAACAATGTACATGATGCCCCTTTCAGTAGCATGTTTTCTAGTACTTTGCAATATGCATCATGCTTAGGGGCCTAGGTTCTTCTAGATTGTCAGGATGGAGCCTATTTGCTGTTCATTGACTGCCCATTTGAGTAACATTCTCTTTTTCTTTACTTCTTTTTCATATAAATAAACTTGATTTCATATCAAAGAGATTGTAAATTAGGTCATTTGTTCATTTATATGGAAATAATGAAATGTATAAAATATTAGAGAGAAATTAGGGACCCAAATGAACAATTGACAAAAATATTAATCCCCTTAATCTAATCTAATAATTTTCAACATGGGGTGATAGTATTCCCATAAAGCATTTGTCAGTGTTGAGGGACCTTTTTGGTTGTCACATCTGGGAACTGCTGCTGGTAGCTAGTTGATAGAAGTCAGGAATACTGTTAAATGTCCTGACATAACAGGACAGCCTCCACAACAAAGAAGTAACTGTCTAAAAATGTCAACAGTACCAAGGCTGAGAAACTCATCTAGTTTAGAGGTGGAGTTAGCTTCTTAAGTTTAATTTTTTCCTCCTTTTCTTTTGTATACCAGGTAAGAAAAAACTTAGAGAACAAGAATAACATATATTTACCTGTTCTGTAATATCCCCATAAGCTTAAATTTTTTATCTTTCTATTCTAGGTGTCCCTGGAAAACCTCATTAGGCTTAACCAAGCCCTTTTTCCACCAAGCAAGAGGAAAATGGAATCCTTGTACCACTGTGGTTTTAATGATGCCATTAAGTTTCTACATAAAGAAAACTGGTTTGAATAAAACCCTTTAAAGTTTGTAATATTTTTCAGAACATTTGTTTGTTGAGACAGGGTCTCGCTATGTAATCCAGTCTGACCTCAAACTCACGATCCTACTGCCTCAGCTCTTGAGTGCTGGAATTACAGACATGCACTACCACAACAAGCTCAAATAGTTTTTGATGAAGGCTACTAATTAAATTCTTCTTAAAAAGCTATCAGTTGTAGGGCATCGGGGCTATTTCCATGAGGAAGAATGAAATTATGTTGTTTTTAGGTAAATGGATAGAACTAGAAAACATCATATTAAGCAATGCAAGCCAGGATGAGAAAGACAAAGGTCACATATTTTCTCTCATATGTGGAAGATAGATCCAAAAGATAAATTTATACACAAATACAAGCATGATCATATATACATATATGTATAGAACATGTTTCTAATAGTGAGACTATTTGAGGAGACTAGGAAAGGAGGAAGAGTAAAAGAGAATGATAGTGAGTAATGTTAAAATACATCTGGGTAGGAAGAAGACATATTAAAATTCACTTAAAGCTGTTGAAAAATTCAGGAAAGGGGGGAAAGGGTAAGGAAGAGTAATAGGAGGGTTTGACTGATTAAAGTACAGAATATTCACAGTTGAGATACCATGGCAAAACCCCTTTTAAATAATGAACATACACTTAAACAATGAAGGTCAGGATTGTAAAACAGGTCCTATTAGAGAGAAGGGTACAAGTGGAAGGAGGAGGGTACATGGAGAGGGTAAAGGAAGGGTGAATATGGTTGATGTATTTTATATACATGTATAAACATAGAACATTGAAATCATTTTAAGTAGGGGGGAGGGGGATGAGGGAGAATGATGGTGGGGATGAACCTAACAAAGGTATATTGTAAGCATATATGAAAATGTCTCAATGAAACACCCTGTGTAACTCTTATATACAAATAAAATTATTATATGCTAATAAAACATAAAAAATATTATCAGGACTCTCAGTTTCATAATTGCTACTTACAATATATTTTTAATATTTGAATTATTACTAAATGTAAGGAAATAGGTATTTTATTAGAATTTTGCAATGCCACTGGGAAGGATATGCTCAAATAATGAGGAATCATTTTCTCACATCCTTTGAAAAATTTAGGAGAGTTTGCCCTTTGGTTGGAAATATTGGAAATGCAGGGCCCTGTAGCAGGTGCTATAGGGGATACAATGTTAGGATTTTGACAGAGCATGGAGTATTTCCATGCCCTGCAGATCCAGAAGAGAAGGAAACAGCTCTCAGGTTGAACCCAGCTACAGGGCAAAAAAAAAGCACCTTTGATAGGGACTGGTGAAACAGGTTTGCATTCCACAGGGCCACAGGGTGTGAAATTTCTCCTAGTGCAGTAGGGGGTGGATATCAAGATGCCCAGCAGACTTCAAAATATGATGGGTTGTTCCTATTTGTCTGCAGAGGCTTACCAATCACCATTTCCCCAACCAAATACCCCAAACCCATCTCCTAGCTAAGAAGAGGATCAGGATGATTGGATCCCTCCCTGTTTCAAGACTCAGGCTTTCATTTATACTCTGTATTTCTGTTTCTGTCTCTTTCTCTCCTCCCCCACCTCTACAAGGCAATACTTCTCTGCTTAACCATTATTATATATACTAGCTATACATACTCCAGGAACTTAAATCAATAAGATACTACTAGATGAGAAGAACCAAGAGGCATAGCAAATAAGAATTAAAATCCAAAATAACCATGTAATGACTGTTTTTAAATCACAGTATATGGATCCCAGGTCTTCCACTCTTTAGGTTGTGTGATCACTGAGGACTCATTGTATGGGTTTCTACTAACTCACTTAACACTTGTCTTAAATCTTATATTTGTTTTTATGGGACTTTGCCAAGCATGAACTCTTAATTACTAAGAGGCAGTTAGAAACAAACTAATTTGATTGCATGCCTTTAATTGTCCTGAATTACTCTTTTTACTCTCTGAAACCATTCTTTAAATCAACTTTATGGTTTTCAAAAGCCCCAAATACACAATTTTTAGCACATAAACACCAACTATTGTCTCTTTTCTGAGGAGTTCTGCAGAGTCTCTGTCTAGAGTAATGATGGTCCTTGGGGGGATATATTTTATGTACTCTAGCAAACATGTAGTTAAATTTCAATATGTTGTATTAAATGACATGAAGAGGATGGATTCTTAGCTCATTGTTAGGTTTATTTATTCACTAGGCAAATTTTCAATTTTGCCTAAGATTTTTCACTGTACCCCTTAATTTTATCATTATAAGTGAATATTCTTGGGTCTGACACTTCCATAAGTCCTTTTTCTTTTTTTTCTTAATTTTTTGACACAGGGATTTGCTAGATAGCCCAGGCTGGTCTAGAACTCCCTATGTAGCTCAGAATAGCGTCCTACTTATGATCCTCCCTTATCAGCCTCCCAAATTCTTGGATTACAGGTGTGTGCCATTATACCAAGCCATAAATCCTTTCATGATGTATCTGTAAACAAAAACAAATCTGACTCAATTTGTCTTTTCAAAAGTTTTGCATTTTCTTGAGGCGCTGGGGGTTGAATCCAGTATCTGTACATGTTGGTTCTTGACTATTTTATAACCCACTACATGTGTCTTTGACCATATGGGTTGTATGAGGAGACTTTCTTATGCAACATACAACAATGTAATGATCATGGGTTCTCTATGTCCCAGGTATTCCCCAAAGGTGCTGTACTAAGTTCTCAGAGGGAGCATGTTACAAAGCACACTATTTATCATTGCCAAAGCATGTTCTTGTCCATCTATACTAACAGATGCACTGACAGAATCTGTCCCACTATCAGGATCAAATGATTACAGCCTGCTAGAACTATGTGATAGAAATATGAAAGAGACTTTCTTACCCAGATACTGACACATTTGCACGGTTATAGGGATATGCTACTTGGCAAGTCCCCTGTTGGGCAATTTCCTAACACCTTCAGATCTGCCATCTAAAATTTCATCCATCTTACTTTTCTTCTTTTCAGTGTCCCTGTTTGTAACTAAGGGAACCTACTGCCTTCCATTGACAATTAGAGAAAATAGATTTAGTTTTGAGGTTCAGCAATGCTCTCAAGGAGCAGACAAATACTAAACAAAGACTGCATTGGGCTGTGGTTTCACAAGATCAGAAACTGCAGTGCATGTGGTGAAACAGTCTCACAGCTCTAGGCATTGAATTATCATCCAAAACATCATGAGCTCTATGAATGTGGAGAGTTCAGTGACTCTACTTGTGATTTTTTTCTGATGATCAAAACAATAATAAAAATGTTTTGGGCATACTGGGGGAAACAGTGCCCACCCAAAAGATATGCTTGTTTCAAACATTGGAACCTGTGAATGTTATTGCATTTGGAAAAAGGATCTTTTTAGATGCAATTATGTGAGGGACCTTGAGGTAAGGAAATCCTCCTGGACTACATGGTCATAAATCCAATGAATAAATCCTATGGAAGAAGAGTTCTGCAGTGATACAGTTCAAGTATATAAATATCTGTCCACCAACTGTCCTTAACGATTATTTTCCTATAAGTTTCTATTGTTAAAAAAATCTCCATGAAGGGAAGTGTGGTTGTGCTTCTTTTAAGGTACAGAGATCTTCCTAAACTAAGCATAAAAAATTAGAAGACACAAAAGAGCTTTAATTAGGTTGTCAGTTAAGGCATGCAGATCTGCCATTTATCTGTAAATGAGTAGAGTAGATCATCATTTATCACCCATTAAGGAGGTGGATGCTTCACAAGAACTTATGTGCCTGCCACGTGAAAGAATAGGGGAATCAACCTTCCCATATGATAGCTTTAATGCACAGAAACTGAAGGAAGAGCTGAAAAAGATTGGGTTGCAAATTATCACTCCTTATATTTCATGATAAAGTTGTTGGCTTGGTATCTTTACAAATCCCCTCTAAACACACTTAGAACTGAATGCATGGATGAATTTGAATGATTAGTAGAGAGGTAGATATTTTTAAAAACAATAATAACCCTTTTGTAAGCAATCTTAAATACTGCATGCTTGGTAAAAAAACAGTTTTCCTGGATTACTTGAGAGTGACTCCCACCAAACCCTCAGCACTTCTGTGTGTATGTCCTACAAACAAGGACACTCTTCTACATAAACACATATAGTAATCAATCAAAGGAATTAACATCAATATGCTGTTGGAGTCCTAAGATCTTATGCAGGTCCTTTTGTCAATTGTCCCAATCATGTATTTTTTCTGTTTTTGTTTTGTTTGTTTTTGATACGGGGTCTCACTATGTATCCCAGCTTGGCCTCGAACTTGTGATCTTCCTGCCTATGCCTCCCCCATACTGAAATTACAGGTGTATACCACCATCCCTGCCCCAGTCATGACCCTTGTGATAAAAATATCCCAAAGTGATGCATCCCTCTTGGGTGTCAATGCCTCTTTTGTCTCTTCAGTGTGGACCACATTCTCAGTCTTGCCTTCATGGCATAAGAAGTTTGGAAGATTATAAGCCTGTTACTATATTTGTTTCTTAGGGCTACTATAACAAGTACTGCAAACTGAATAGCATAAAACAGCAAAAAATTATTCTCAGCATCCAGGAAGCCAGAAGTCCAATAATCAAGGTTTCACCAGGTTTGTTTCCTTGTGGAAACTGTGAAGGAGAATCCATTCCATGCCTCTCTCTCTGCCAAATTACAGTGGCTGCTGGCTATTCTTGATGTCCCTTGGCTTGTGACAGCATCATGCCAACCTCTGCCTCCCTTTGCACATAAGTGTCTATCCTGTATTTCTCTGTCCTGTCTTGTTCTTATAAAAACACTGGTTCATTCAATTTGGGGTCCGCCCTAAATGTAGGAGTCTCTCTTTTTGAGATCCTTAACTCACTATTTCTGCAAATCTCTATTTTCATATAAGATCTAATTATGAGATTCTAGGTAGGTTGTGAAATTAAGCAGGAGAGTACTCTTCAAATCACTATTTTATAGTGTTTCCTTCAATTTG